TCAACATAAAAATAGTGATGATAGGTCTTTTGATGGTCATCAACCGTTTTCCATCTTTTAATTCGACCTTGTTGAACATCTTTCATATTTGGCACACCAATATTATGTTTTGAACATAATGTAGTCTTTTCCAAGCAACTTCTCGCAGCCATAATTATTCCTATAATTATTCAAGTCATTCTTCACACCTTCAACAAAAACTAAATATTCCCTATGTTTTGATTCTTTTGTTGAAAATTCTTTGATAATATATTTGTTTTTTTACAACAATTGCATCATTAAATAAACAATGAATACAAAATCAAATGTTACCATTTTCTCAACCAACCTCAAAGCAATAGATTTACTATTGAGATCAGCTCCATCCTCGAATATAACTTCAAGTACCTCAATCGCTGCATCCCACATATCTAAAACTCTTGAAATTGTTTTCAAATGAGAACCCCAACGAGTATCACCAGGTCGAACTAGAGTTTTTTCTTGATTTTTCCCCTTTTCCGGTGCTAATATCACCACATGTTATACCCTCAACAAGATTTTTGTAGTGTCTTTATAAAAGATCATCTTTTCTTTTACATGATGCCCCAACTACATTCACAATCATCAACAAGAAATAAAAAAAACTACCGACTATTCCATTATTATTTAAAGATGTGACAATCACTTATTGAAGTTGGTGAGCAAAACAATGAACATAGTGTGCTTGCTTATTTTCATCCAAAATTTTTTTCTTTAAACCATTAATGCCACCACTCATATTAAAAGATCCATGATAACCTTGACCTTGAACCTTAGACAACGAAAGCGCATGCTTTGCAAAAAAATCATCAATCGCATTTTTCAATGACTGTGCAGAAGTATCAGTGACATGCATCATTCCAAGAAATCTCTCTATCACCTCTCCAGGATCATTAACAAATCTCAACACTACAGACATTTGCTTTTTTATTGAACTATCTCGAGCTTCATCAATCAAAAGCGAAAGATATTTGCTACCAATCTCATTAACAATAGCTTGTCTTACCTCGGTTGCACAAGTATTAGTAATTTCCTTTTGGATTTTGGGAAAGGTTAATTGACTATTTCTTGGAGCATTTGAGTTCATCAATGCATTTATTTACGGATGCCGATGACATTCCCATTTCAAAAGCTCAATAAAATTACTAACAAATAAGATAGACATTATAAATATATAATGTAATAAATAATGTTAATAATGTATAAATAAAAAAATAATTAATTACTTGAATGCAATGAACTAGCTAATTCATCGGATCCTCGAAAAGCCAAACCTCATTATAAAAGAAACCGAACCACGTCCACTATTGATGATAATCTATCTTGATAATCAATCTCATCTTGGTTACTTTGATGTGAGAGCATATAATTATATTTTGCCCTTGATTTTTAAACCCAACCTATAGGATTTTTGCATAACGATGCATACTACCTTGACCTCCTTCATGTTCACAAAATTTCTCTTTAGTTTTTTTCCAATTCTTAAAACCAATTTCTGTAAATACATTATCTTCAAATTTACCGCCCTTTCCAAACAAGTAACACATCTGGCAAAATGTTGCATCTTTAGCAACGCTATATTTCAACCAATGAAATTCTTCGAACCACTGCTTTCAGAATGATCTCATTAACCCACTAAAGTTAGTCTTTGGATAAACAAATTCATATGGTTGGCAAGAGCCTTTTGTCAAATAACGCTTTCTTAATTCTTCCTCATATTAACCGGATAACTCTCAATTGATTTTCAAAATCCAGGATCCCCAATTATGTCATCATCGAATAATTCAACTCCCGTTGAAAGTTTAATTTTGTCTTCAACATTACCGACCACATTATCAACTGGAGCACTTAAAGTATTCGATGGAGAATATGCAGCCTTCGATTTTTTAGAAATTAGTGTAAAAAATCGTTCCATAACAATTATTTTTTGTTCTAATAACCTACATTTAAAATATAATAATTTCAAATATTAAAATAATAAAGTAGAAATTCAATAAATAAATAAATATATGCAACAATGTAAAAGAATTAAGTCTACTTTCACGAAATAAAAGAATTAGGTCTACAGAAATAAAATAAAGTCTACTTCTTAAACAAATAGTAAATTTCAAGAATAACTCAAATCATAATACTAAGTTCAATTTGAAATAAAATTTGCACTTCTAAATTCTAATCGCATGATTTGTCAAATGATAAACAATTCAAGAATCTAACCTTGAGAAGCGCAGAAGACGGCGGATGGACAAGGTGGGTTAAATTATGTTTAAAAATAATTTTTTTTTTTTACTTTTATTTTTTATAATATATTTATAATTAAAATTTATTGTATATTATATTGTAAAAGTGATCAAATGGAATTATAGTTGACCCGTTTCGTGATTTTTTTTGTTTTTTTTTGGGTGGCGGCAAATGGAATTATAGTTGACCCATCACTGCTTATGAATCCAAAGCCAACATTTGTGGTTGAAACGGATTAAAACGTGAGAGCTAAGTTGAGGTTGAGATAGCGATACATCAATGTTGTTGATTAAGTGTATGTAGAGGTGGAATAGTTCAATGTGTTACGCCTACTGGGCCATCAGTACACTTTGTACTGTTGACTATGGAATATTCAAAGTCACAAGGTACATGTGTTATGTGTCAATATCTCACAGAAACTGAACTGGACTTCTATTCTTTTATGAGCATTTTCACTCATGTGAAAGATTTTTGAATAATCGGTTATTTAATTGGTGAATTTAAAAAAATTAAATTCAAAATTATCAAAATCACATACACATTTCTACTAATCAATAAATATTATGATTTTTAATATACTACAAAAAAGTAAATTGTACATTGAGTTGTAATAAAAGTACACTCCAAAATTTATATGAGTTTCTTCAACCAATGTCAATGTCTTTTTACCTCTTACAGAAGTTGATACTCACTACAAAACAATAACATGTTTGTAATAGAATTAGGGACGAATGACGTTATCTATGTGAACTTTAGGGACAGAATTTAATAAATTATGTCCCTAATTTTGTCCCTAATATCATTAGTAACAAAAAAAAAAATGGACAAAAATGATATTTTCTTGTAGTCAATGATGCAGTCATTGCCCTGCAAAAGTCATTTTTTAGTATGCTGATATTGTTTTCGGTGTTGCAATAATATAATATTTTTGAAATTTTGTTACTATTCAATTATTTTTATAAATATCAAATTAAGTATTTTTTTTTCCAAAAAATATCATATCAAATACTAATTTTTTATTAATTCCAAAAATTTCAAAATTCCAAACTCCCGAAATTTTCTTGTCTAAACGAAGCGTAAACTCGATACTAACTTCAAATTGTATCTCCCATACCAAAATTACTATTACAGGGACCATATGTTGCTAAATTCCATGAGTAACTCAATGCAATGAAAACATGCACTAGTTCACGGTAGACTTGGCCATTCAGTTTCAACCCGCCAATTTGCGGGTTTTCAAACTCGCGATTACGGTTTAAACCAAAATCGAGCACAAACAGAATCGAAACCATCGTTCTGACAGTTCGATTTCGATTTGTGATTTTCCTAAACCGCAAACCGTCGGTTTATGGTTGTTTGGCTTTTTTAAAATCTCTCGCGAGAGCGCGGGCAGGTGCAGAAGAAGAAGGAGGAGGAGGAGAAAAGAAGAAGAAAGATGAGGAAAAGAGGAAAACAGGAGGAAGAGGACCGAGATTGGGGAAGAAAGAAAAAAATTGAGAAGAAAAAAGCGGAGAACATGGTGTGATTGCAGCGGCTGAAATGTGTAATTGTATTGATTAGGGAAAAATTATGTGTGTATTTTATAATAAGAATATTATATTTATAATTGATTTTTTATATGTTATTAAATTTTTATAAAGATAAAAATAATATTAATATTAATAAATATAATAATTCTTGATGATGTTAAAAATAATAATACTATAATATTATTTATATTTTAAATTTTGTAACTTTTTATTATATAATTGTATTTAATTATCTATTACATCAATATTTCTATAATTTATTTTTATTTACTTTTTAATCTAAAATTTAATTTAATTATTTATTAAATTTATTTTTTTAATATTTTTATATTGTAACAATCTAATGAATTATTTATATATATATGCTTTTTCCATAATAAATGAATAATAAATATATCTAAATTAAATTAAAATAAAATTATTTTTAAATAAATATTAAAGATGAATAAATATAAACTGAAAATCAAACTGTAACCAATGATTTTTAAATCGAAACTAGCAGTTTATAAATCGTAATCGAAAGTGTCACTCGAAAAGTTCGATTCGATTTATATTTTGACAAATTGTAACCGGCGGTTAGTACGGCGGTTTGAATCGTTTGGGCAAGTCTAATTCACGGTGGTTATTGAAGATAAAATTATGGAATTATAACTATTCTAGTTAATTATAAACACTAACAAAAAAATGGCTATTTGTAGCGGCTTTAAAACCGCTACAAATGGCCATTTTTCATATAAAAAGCTATTTGTAATGATTTTGTACCGGATTTTGGTCGGTGCATATACTCGAGTTACAAAAAGTTTATGTACCGACATTTTCCATAACAAAAAGTGGACAATCAACGCACGTGAGAAATTTTTTTGTAACGGTTTTTGTAACACTAACAATGTTTTTTGATTTATTTATAGTGGATGTTTCTCGTAATAAAAGAGTCGTCACAATAAATGTTCATGCATTTGTAATGGATTTTGTTATGGTATAATTTTTGTTACAATAAACTGATTGTCCGAAAAATATTTTAAAACGAAATTCATAATTTTTTTACCGGTATTTGAAACGAACACAATTTCGCAACAAAAAGAATATCCTTATTTTTTTAGTAATAACAAAAAAATAGTATCGGAACCGAAAAAACATAACTAGTTCGCAATACAACCATTAGTAGCACCAAGTACGCACTGTCTAGGAACATAACTAGTTCGCAATAAGCCGACATATACAATCCAAAGGCAAAGCATAGCAACAAACACACAAAAGGAAGCAACATATGCAAGTTCAACCTACGTAAAGGACTTAGTCAGTATCAATCTATAAACAAAAGTTATCATCATAGAATTACATGCAACGCTACATCGTCCCATGCAGCGTCAAAGTGAACATACACGGCAGTTACGCGTGACGAACAAGCTGCCCACATAGTGAAAAATTATATAAGAATTTATTTGCGAGTTGGTTAAGTCATAATCTAGTTATAAAAATGGTTACATACATCCTTGAATGTCCAGTCAATTGACTCGATGTGGACAAACTCATAGAGTGTTTGCACTTCAGATATCGTTCGTGAATTAACGCAGCCTCCGGAACGATAGCAGCCGTGAAAAAAACCTTTACTATATTAGTGGTATAACCTACGTACATATAAAGACAATATGTGCATATCATCGAAAACAAAATGCAACTCACAAAATTTCATTATCTTAAAGCGGATGATCAATACTGCGCATTAATAAATATACAAAACAATCATGAGCTATGGGATAGTCACATGTGGCTTCAAATGCATACTGAGAAAGTATATAAACTATATGTTATCTAGAAGAAATGCTTGCAAGTTTCTAGATTTCCTACATGAATTGAAAACATAACCTATAATTATTTTTTACAAAATTGATGGAATGAACACTACAAAAAAATAATAATTTTGTAACGAAATTCCGTCCCTAAAGTTCACGTAGTTAACGTAATTCTATCCCTAATTCCGTCTATAATGTCATTAGTAACCGAAAAAATAGATTTAGAGACAAAAAGGTTTTGTTACAAAAATGATTTCTTCTTGTAGTGGAATAAGAGAAGAGGCAAGGACAATAGAAAAAATGCAGCAAAATTATTCTCACTTAAAAGTTATAACCTCTCTTTATTACCAAACCAAAAAGTGTTGGCATAAAACAGTTAACCAAAGGTAGCATCCTACCGAACTAGAGCCCTTGACTACAATGCATATAGGAGAAATCACTCAGACACAATCATTAGCTGAATAATCCAACTATAAAACAAAATCAAAATACTGAATAATAAGAAAGGAAATTATAATTCTACCTTCTTTCAGCATATTATAGATGGACACAATATCACCACTAGCTGCAAATGCCTTGTCTCTCTACCTTTCAAAATTTTCCAATTATATGTTAGGCGAAAACAAGAAAATAAAATACAAATGACTTGGGAGGTAAAAGACAATCTTCAAAACTACAAACCCAACATCCGGGTCATCTTCCCAACTTCTGTACAACGTATGAAGCCTATCTACCTGTGATGCACATAGATTTAAATATCATGTACTCATGAGAGCGAAGTATTGAATTGATTATTAAGTAGCATTTCAGTATTAAAGATATCTCAAACTTTACGTAAGCAAATAGATTATATTTTCTGATAATTAAAAGAAAGTAATTTATAGATATAGTCAAGCCAAGGTTTTAGCTTAAAAAATACGGAACCATTTCTCTAACTATTGATGTAGTTAATCACCATGATTCTTGAGCATATACATGATGTTATTCTCCAATGCATTCAAGTTAGTTCTGAGCAATATAAATTAATTATACTCAAGTGCAAGACAAACATGTTCAAACAATACAGGTAAATACCAAGCTCTATAAATTTTGGGCAGACAAATTTCCACAAACAAAATAATACAAAAGCAAACAATTCATTTTTAAGAATCACAAAATAAATCCATGCAGTAGATTGGATTTTTATAAATCAACCAACAAACTTAGAGACCCACAAAGTAGAAATAGATGCATATAGCTCTTTTCACTTGGCCTAGCTCATGATATAAAAACAGGTCATTATAATGATTACCTATTACACTCAATGTGAAGAAATTTATGAAATCATCAACACAAGCAATCCATAAAGTTAGTGAACAATTTTTATTGTACAAACCAAATTACAAATAATAAGTTGGACTTCAGCTAGCGATAAGTTCAGACATGGCTACTGCAACAAATGAAAAAAAAGTCAATCTTCACAACTGAATTGTCAAAACACAAGCTTGATTACACTTTTGCTTTACCACCTATATGAAAGTAATATTTTCCAGTGATTTTGATAATTTTCATACCTGAAATAGTGTCAATTATAGCCATACTGCCGTGACTAATCAAATCTGCAAAAAAAATTCTGCTAGGATTAATCCAATATTGATGTCTGCATCCTCGTAGAAATCCAGTAATGATTATAAAATAAATCTGTTTGTAGATCACAATGCATAATAGACATGAATAAAAGATCACTTTTTAATTGAATTTGTCGATACATCATAAGAAAACAGTCGAGGTAGTGCTTGCTTGCTTAGCAGAAACGTCTCCCTATATGTCAGACGAACAGAGGCATAGCATCATGCATTACAAGACATAGAGAGAGTTTAGAGAAAATAACAAAGAAATAATGTTTAAAAAGTGAAATTTTAGTTAATAATAGCTAATTCATACACGATAACATTCTACACCACAAATCCACACTTCCAAAGAGCTAAACAACGGAAGCAAATTAAATCTGGAATAAAGTAAAATAAATTCATGAGCAGCACTTCAAGCAAAATTGCTCAAGTTCAACCCAAATTCCTGGTCCAAATTAAATACAAACCTCGTATACATAACCTATATCATATGCACGGATAAACAAATAAAATGAAGAATATGAGTCATGAAATCCATAATTCATTACAAAACCTAACTGTATATGTCACAATATTATCACCAACTTGGGTTTACCCAGTGCGCACTTTCGGGTAGCGGCTGCGGGTTCCCACGTCATCCAAAAAAAAGAAGATAATCTCACACTTATAATGAAAATACCAAAAAAAGTAATGAAAAATGCATTCAAATCATCATATTAAAAATAAACCAAATTAACAATCATTACCATATAACTACCATAGAATAAGTTCTTTATTTTTTGCAAAAACAACACAACTCACAATCGTAACCATAGAAACATCCACAATACAAATCCAAAAGTAAATCAATGACAATAGCTATTCTATAATTAATAGTTATTCATTACTCATAGAAAAAAATCCACTAACCTATTATAAAATTAATAGCTAACACAATGCATCAAACTAAGATCTACAAAATCAAACAAATACGAAAGTTGGAAAATCATCACAACTAACCCAGAAACTCGTGAACATATACTATTAATTAAAAAATTCAACAAAAAAACAATACAAGAATATCAACAAAACTAAAATATAATAATAATCATACTTTAATCTATATCAACACCAAAATACATGTGCAAACCAACAAGTTATTCAAGACATATATTCATATAACCTAAATATTAAAATTATTTATCGATACCTTTGGACCAAATCTAACTTAACAATTTTAACATCAACCATAACAAGAAGAAAAATAAAACAACAAAATTCGAAGAAAATGTCTCGTTTTCAGAACTTTTCACTTTCTTGGGACGAATACTAGAAACTGCGACCGTTTTTTCTCATTATACCTCACATGATATTTTCAATATTAATAAGGTTGATAGCAAAACAAGCAATGGTGTGCAGTAAATGACAACAACACATATCATATGCAAACTTGAAACTAGAACCTTTTGTTTGGAATTGTGAAGCCTTGTCAGTTTTGTCTGCTACTGTAACAATCTTGTTATTCTCGGGTTTAACAATATATCCAGATTGAACCGAAGAAAATAAAAAATCCAAACCATAATCATAAAACAAGCAATGGTGTTCTATTGTAGATTACCACATAACAGATGCAGACTTAAAACTAGAACCTTTTGCTTGGAATTACAAAGCCTTATTATTGTTACTCTCTAGTTTGATAGCATCTCCATATTGAATGGAAGAAAATTAAGAATCCCAAACATAGCGAAAAAAATTCAAAATGATCATAAACTTGTAAAAGTTAAATTTGAAACAAGAAAAGAACACAATATTCATCTATCAACCAATGTGTTATATAGTGAGGCAAGAAAGACACATAAAAGATGCAACAATTTGAAAATAACACACCTTCATTGTCTTTTGTTCGAAGCTCTCCTCAAGATGCACCAGACATGGCATTTTTAACTAGAATCTTTCTATCTCTAACAGCTGAACAATTCTTCAACTCAATGGAACGATTAGTATCTTCAATGGCAACACTTACAATTGAGAATCAATATCAAAACTAGTACCACTCACAAAATCCAAAAAAAATTATTAAAAAAGCAAATTTTACTTACAATTGAACATAGTCAAACCTTCGATACTCACTTGATCCTAATATAAAAACAAGCAAAGACCAACCAAAAATAAAAGCGTAGTCTAGACAAAATGTTTTTGCTACAAGAAATAAAACAATCATGATTTTTTGACTTCAAAACAAGCAATTTTCAAATCAATCCCATCCTATGTAAGTATTATTCTTTTGGTTGTCAACAACATTTAAAATCATAAACTTGTTTCAGGTGATCCTCAAATTCAACGTGGGCACTAGATTAGCCAACCTTTTTTGGTAACCATAAAGCATCTTCTTATTGGTCCACTCTTATTGAAAGTTTTTTCCATCTAAATAAACATCGACAACAAACAATAAGACAAAACAATAAATAAATCCAAACTCACAGAAAGATCTAGGGTTGGCATTTCAGAATGTTGGTAGGCAGCGGCGACTCGCTATCAACAGGTCGAGGAAGACGGCGGCGGAGCGCGATTAACGGCCGACGAAGGTGGAGATGACGCGCCGTTCAAGGGTGCAGAGCGAAGAAATTAAAGGAAGGTGAAGGAGGACGTATAGGAAGGAGAAGAAGAAAAGGAAAGAAAAAGAAGAAGAACGAAGAACGAAGGATGAAGAAGATCGAAGAGGACGAACAAGAAAAGGGAAGAAGAAGAACAGAGAAAACGAAACAGAACATATGAACTGGATGGCGCATTAGGGTTTATTTAAAAATGTTTTAGTTTTAATTTTTATTTTTATTTTTATTGTATATAATAGTTTCAATTTTAAATAAATATTTTTTTTTAAATTTCAATTTGTATATATTAATATATAAATATTATATGCGTGTATATATATATATATGATATATATGTGATATATTAATTTAGATTATTTTAGATTTAGTATGAAATTTAAAATTAAAAGTATTGTAATTGTAACGAAAAAAATACCGCAACAAAAGAAAAATATTGACCAAATTGAAAAAAATATTTGTTACGAAAATATCCGAAACAAAAAATAACTTTTGTAACAAAAAAATTGTAGCGGATGAGATTTCGCTACAAATGACCATTTGTTTGGTACTGAAAATTTGTGGTTTGTACAAACAAATTCATTCTAGTAGAACGATTCAAATAGATATCTCTTGGGAACACAAATATAGATACAATCAATACAATAAAATAATATTTTTTATAGCATTTTTTTTTTTTTTACCCTAAATTTCTCTAGATATGTCATAGTTAATGTCATTTATCTCTAATTTTTGTTACAAATATATATGTATATATATATATAACTTTTGTGAATAAATATAATATGCCTTTAATTTACAGCATCCATTTTGGAGACCCAAACAACCATAGACGTCCGAAATCAACTCCTGGCTTCCGTTTTTCCATTAGGAGCATAATTGCAAATTAAATGCATTTCCCTCTATTATATAATAAGTCAGCTATAAATCCAATAATACTTTCAATTTCATTTTGCTATAGTATGTTTCTCTATGTTTTAATTCCATTTGGTTTCGCATTTTGTGTACGTGCTGTAACAAACATTTTAATCTATGTAAAAGTATTAGGTAAAATTTTTATTGAAAATATTATTTTAATTTAAAAAATATTTTCAGATCATTTATATTGCTTCACTAAATAATTTTATACCAAACACACACAAATAGCTTGCCATGCTCATGCACGTAAAAAGAAAAAAAATGGAAAACAAGTAGCATTATAAGGGATAATGTACTAGATTAACATCGTAGTTTCGTACTCGTTTTTTTTAAAAAAAAAACAGCTCTTGATCTGTATAATATGTGGTTGGGCAGAAATCAGAAGAGGATTGAAATTCTGAAATTTGTTTCTTTTTTAAAAATAAAAATATTCCATCAATTTTGCTATTTGTTTCTGTTAAGACGGAAATCCGGGGTTCTAACTTAAAACCAATTGGTTGTAAGTGGAGTAGCCCTTCATCCCTTATAAGGTAGGGAAATCCCAACATTACATCCAATGTGGGATACTTAACAATTTCCAACATATTATGAATGATTTTTTTTTTTTTTTTGGTAACTCGTGATCGTAAAGTTATGGTAACTTTTTTTATGACATGAGAATTCGCAGACGGGACTAATTAGGCCTGATAAGTCAGGACACACTAGAAGGATCATGTGACAGGAAAGACTCGGACGCATCGGAAATTTGAACATATAACCTCACGGTAAAAAATCCACCTCATATTTATCAATGACAATCAAAGTTTACAAAAGTCATTGCAATAATTTTCTCAAACTTGTCCATAAATGCTTACATTAACATTTTCAATTTTATTGTAACTAAATACTCAAAAAATATTACCTACTTTAGACAACAGTACCTACGGCTAACCTTATTTAAAATTTTGAGATTATGGAATTCAGTTTAAGAATAGTAAGTGTATTCATCCAATAATTTACTACTATATTTGTGATAGGATTTTGGATATATATTATAAAAAATAAAATATATACATACACTCACACAATAAAAAGATAATAATAATTAATAGAGTTGATATCTCATATGTATATGTAAATTAGAGACATCCAAGAATACAAAATGAATAACATATTATATATTATAAGTTCATCTAAATTGAAGAAAAAAAAAACTTAGTTTCATTGAAACTGAAGGATTAGTTTTAATGGTTACAAAGCAAGACATATTTTTCCAAAAGAATTAATATATTATATACACTAATTATTTTTATATTATCTATACTTTACATAAAAAATTTCCTTCAAACTATTTAACAAAAAAAACAAATCCCAAACTTCTACCTTGAAATTCACATTTAAATTTTATAATAATAAGTATAAATTTGTTAACATAAAATGCAAATTTGCTTGAATAAATAATAATTAAAAAAAAAAAAACAGCTGAAAACAAACAACTGACATTCAAATTCAAATTCAAACTGAAAATATTAAAGGGTTC